GCGATAACACAGCAGCGGAGAGCTTGACTGCATTACTAATGAGAGCTCCTTTTGACCTGATGTACCTCCTCCAACAAAGTTTAGGTTCAAACATATTCCTGCTGGAGTTTGTTTCATTTCAGATGGACTTTTCATTTGGCTCTAAGTGCTCACTTCCTGAAATTGACAAATTCTTTGTTTGCAAGCTGGTGTTATCTTTCAGCTGGAAAGGTAGATTTCCCCAAAGAGCCTGGCTCTTCACAGTCCAAAAGGCTTTAGAAAAAGCAAGAAAAAAGCTCTCGTCTTTGTCGCTGTTTCCTTTCTTTCCAGACACAATGCACAGTGAGTTACAGTCTTCAAGCTGTGAGTGTAACCCGTCCATAATTTGTTTCTTTAATAAGTAGACTGACAGTTTCTGGGCATTTTCTTCTCCTGTCACATTTTTTCCACTGCAATATAAAGATGCAGTGTAACCATGACTAGAAGTAAACACACTTGTAAGGTCATAAATCCTTTAAAAAAAAAAGGGGTAAATTAAAGTAAAAATGTCTTTGTAAATTTCTTATAAAAGTTAAAAAAAAGCAAAAAAAAAACTAACAAACCTGGAATCAATATGTTCAAACATTTTTGTCTCTGTGTTTTACCAATACTGGAAAAAATGGTGCCTTCACATGCTATATTCATTTTTTTCCACTACTCTGCATGTCAGTTCTACAAATATGTTTCACTTTGCTGAGTGTATCTTCCAGTAACTTGCTCCTCTGTATCATGTTTTTGAGCAGCGCTGCATTTATTTTATTGTGTGATTTTCCTCTCCGTCTCTCTATTTTGCTTCCATACTTGTCTTCTGTTTACTATGTATAAACACAGTCTGCAGTTCAGACGAAAACTCTATGAATTTTTGTCACATCACTTGTTTGTGGCTGAGTCAGTCATGGCTTCATGGTTAGAAAGAGCACAGAATGTTTTGTTTTCTTTCTGTTTTTACAGTTTCTGACTCAGATAAATGGTTTCAGTTTGGCAATTTTTAAAAATCAAGATTTTAGGGTCATAAGGTTAACTACTTTACATAGCTCAGAGGAAGTGTGGATTAAATATCACAGTTTTAAGATTCAATTAATTTAGTTTAATTTTCTTGAAAGAGCAGCATGTCACAATCAGTTCAAAGCCTGTTGTAAAGTTGAAAACTCCTCTCTGTTTTTACAATGTCTGGCTGATAAATGGTGTCAGTGCAGCAATTTTTGTTGAGAAGATACTTTTCAAACCTGCTGGAGGAGGTTTAGACCATTAATGAATAGGAGGCCACGTTTGTATTTAGCTTAATTAACCTAAAGAATCAATCATTCATCAGTGAATAAGTGACTGAACAGAAGGATTTGGCAAGTGAAGGTGGAATTTACCACCTCAGTCTGTGTGTGTGTCTTAGCTAATTGCACTCAGGAGCAGCCTGTAAAATAAATGCCTCTCATGGGACGGTGAAATGGGGAAACTGAGGAATGTTTCTGCTCTCTAAAGTGGTGACCCAGTGTTTGTTTGTGTGTGTTAAAGAGCTAAACAGGGCTGCATGCATGCACACATCGTAGAAACCCTTCATGCTCCTGGTGAGACTTGAGGTGTTTATTTCAGGCTGGGTTTGATCTATGTTTATACCGCCTGTGTGCATGGAAATGGAAGTGTGTGTGTGTGTGTGTGTCGCTGGCATGTTTGGGCACCGTGCCGTCCTACCTCACCCTTCTGACGCTAAGCAGCTTTAGCTTGATCACCATCTGTTCAACCAGTCTGTGTTTGTGCACAAAGACTCGCACTCCTCGTCACCCACTCACTCTTGAGCAGCGCTGCTTGTGTTCAGACCTCAGCCGGTGTGTCTGCCGCAGCCGGAGACGCTGTTTTTGTTTAGCTGTGAAACGGCAGCTTTTTCACGTTAGCGCTCAGGTTGTGGCGAGTGTCATTTGCCGTAGGATGTGTGATTCACACGAGGCTGCAGGTCGAGTCTGTCGTCTGTGTGGTTTGGGTTGCTGAGTCTCTCTGCTGGTTAAAAGCTGCTCCCCAGCTAACTGCTGCGTTTCCTATTTCACTCATTGAACAGTTCGAAAAGATGGAAATCCACAGGGGGTAAAACAGCAATATGCTCTCTGGGACATTTTTATTCACTCCACTTCACAGGCTCAGTCAAACTATTACTTTAGCTTTTGAATATGTGTGCGATCTGGGTCATCTTGACATAGAGACGGAGTTAGTTGTCTCCAAGGTAACAGACGGCAACTTTTTGTCCTGTGCTGATGTCTAGAGCTGGATGTCAACTTGATTAATTGATTAGTTGTCAGCTATCAAATTAAGTGTCAGCTACTTTGAAAGTCAATTATTCTGTTTGAGTGATTATTTGAAAAAAAAGTTAAACTGTGAGCATTTTCTGGTTTCTTTCCTCCTCTGTGACTCTGTATCTTTGGATTGTGGACACAACCAGACATTTGTCACCTTTGGCTTTTGGAAACTTTTAGCAACCTTTAAAAAAATAGAATAGAATTTATAGCACTTTCTGACATTTTAGACCATAAAATAATAACAGACTGATTATTGACAATAAAAATAATTATTAGTTGCAGCCTTTAGTATCAATATTCACACATTTTTGATACTAAATGAAGAAGAAGCACCAAAATGTGACATTGAATATTGATTTAAATTCATAATGTTCAGCACACATCATTCTTGTTAACTTATTCTTTGATATTTCCACTTGGACCCTAACTGTCAGTGTAACAACAACCGGTGACTGCTGATATATTTTTTGTATTTTCTGACACTGTAAGGTCTTTCCATCTTGAATCATCATATTTTTTTTTAGAACAATTTCTGCTTAATGATTTGCCTGAATTTTGTTATAGCATAAAATATGGTTATTTATAATGTTTTGGTGTTTTTTTTTTATTGTTTCTATGACTTTCTAAGATGCAGTGTTTTAAAAATGTTCATAAGAATCATAGAACTTTATTATCTGTCCCATAGTTACAGACATTCCTCAGTCTACAATTGAATAAAAAATGGCTAGTGGCTAGTTTGCACGTGAAAATAAGTGCAGTGCAAAATCCTAAATTGGATGCTGCGTCTGAAGGTTTTTAACTCGCTGTTCCCAGGCCTTATGTTATATCCTCTATTTCGAAGAGCACAAAATGAAAGTTCATAACATTCGTCCTGTCTTCGAGTTACATCAAGTCAGTGTACAAGGTCAGTGATCTAAGGAGCCTGTTATCCAATGTCAAAACATCCAAATAGAAAGTTCCCACTAAACTACACTTAAGAACAGAACATTAAAACACATAAACGAGCTGTTTTTAGAACCAATGTATTACGTGTTACTGTGGTTCATCATCCTCTAGAACTGGAAATGCCAGCTTGTAATGAAACTATTAAAGATCCCAAACAAAGCCCAGCCTGCCTTGTACTGAGGACACGCACATGTTTTTTGATTATCTGATAATCCAGAGTATTAAAACTCATCATGTGCATCCTCAAATAACTTCTTGACAGCTAAACAGAGAGCTAAACTCTACTTTCCCACCTGTTATGTGCAATATGACATACGCGCCTGCTGACCTGTCCATGACATTTCACCTGTTACATTCTGGGACACGTTCCAAGAATAAGCAGGTACAGAAAGTAGATGGATGGGATTATGTGCCAGTGTTTTAGCCAGATCCATAGCTTCATTTATCTGCAGCAGCTCCTCATCCTGCACGCACACACATCGACTCAACACGACACATTATTACACAGTGTGTACAGGCCATTTCAAATCTATAACTCCCACTGTTGCGAGGGCAGTTGCAGCCAGCAGCTTTATTTAGGTGGCGTCTTTCTGCCGTAGTGCGCTTTAACCCTGACCTGCTGGCTTGTTAATTCTAACCCACAGCCCTTTGAATGCTAGACCTCTCTTTATCCCGTTCACTAAATGGGATGATGCACTCACTCTGCAGGAGGGGAGATTCATTGTGAGAACTCTCTGAACTGCAATGAGAACCACAGTGCAGCTTCTCTGCATGTGCTGATACACTGCAGCGCACAGCGTTGTGTGTCATAACCCACGCTCAGCTGTTTGTGCCTCATGGGTTAGCATTTTAGCATAACTTTGATGCATCAAATGGAAAGAGGAGGAGTTGTAGTAAGGGAAAGAGCAATAGAATATTGGCTTCATCTAGTTCAGTTAAAGGCAGGGTGGAGCTGCAACAATTCATTGTTGTCAACTTGATCTGCAACTATTTTGAGTAATTTTTCAGTTACAAAAGTCCAAATTCTCTGATTTCAGTACCTTAAATGTGTATATTTTCTGGTTTCTTTCCTCCTCTGTGACAGTAAACTGAATATTATTGTTTGATATTGGAAAAAAGAAAAAACTTAAAATGTGCAACATCTGTGTGACAGTGGACAGAAGAAACCAAAGGATCAGGCTTAGATTCATCCTGGTACCGTGTGGCCCAGATTGGGACACCCCAAGCTGAAATGATTGGACTAATTGGTATAATCGTTGATAGAATAATCAATAGAAAAATAGACTTTAGCTGCATCCCTATTAATAATGGATCAAATAACTGTGTTTATGTAACTGAGGTCACTCATATTGACAGAATCACAGACATTTAGAATCAGACTCTGCAGTTTTAGCCTTTTCAAGTTCACTGTTTTGGTTTTACAACTTCACTTTTTTTTTTTTTTTTTATTTACTGTCACCTTTCACATCTGTGTCATTTGAACAGGCAGCAATTTTCTGCAATAAAGCTCCAAAAGGTTAACTTGATGCTATCCATGCACTTGATAAATTAAGCATTTAGTATTTAAGTAGGCCAATGTTTATCTTTGGAACTATTGGAGACCAAGAGGAAGATAAAAGAACCAGTGAATATTCGATTGACATTCACTTACTGCTCCCACATGGCCAAAAACTCTAAGGTTCTTGCTGACTTAACAGGTGCTGTATAAGAAAGTGTGTGTTAAACATTAACTTTTTTGTCATCTGTGTTCTTTAGGGGTCCCTTCAGTGTGGTGAGAAGATGCATCAACAGAGAGACGGGGCAGCAGTTTGCTGTCAAAATCGTGGATGTAGCCCAGTTCACGTCCAGTCCTGGACTCAGCACAGAGGGTAAGAGATCACTCTGTTCCTGTGTAAAAATATGATAAATATAATAACTTTGCGGCAGTCTTTTATTCATCCTGGTCTGTTAAACACTAAAAGTTGGTGCAGAGAAGAGGTCAGATTTTCGTCCTTGTTTGCGTGGGTGTGGTTTCAGTTCAGCGTTTTAAACAAGCACTCTGAGTGCCCCTTGTTCTACACGCTGGCCTACTTTTCATTCACTTGGTCGCTCACAAGCACACTTGGGAGTTACCCAGTTCAATCACAGTCATCTGCTGTTGTGTTTGGGCTGTTCCATTGAAGCAGTTAATTACTAAGCTGTACCTAGGGCACCTTGAGAGTAATTGTTTCAGGTGCACTGCCCCTCCACTGTACATGGATTTACTTTTATTTATTTTAACTTTCAGATCTAAGTCATGACACTGAAACAACAGGAACCACTTTCATAGATATTAGGAAGCAAAAAGTTCACATACATATCAAACTGAGTGTGCATCTTTAAAATATGTACAGATTATGGTCATTTAAGAGGCTTAGAAAATGTAAAAAAAACCCCCAAAAAACATCACTACTCACCTCCAATCTTCGACTTTTCTGACATTAAACGGGGTTTAATATGCAGATGTTGTGCATCGCTAATCCAGAAAAGGCTGCTGAGTCTCGTCTAGACAAAACAAGCAGAGGTCTTATCAGATATCTTCCACAGGCTGGAGGAGCGGTGGAGGGGAGGGATGAACGAACAAGAGAGGGGGGAAGAGATTGAATGAAAGATATTTGGAGGGTGGAGTTCGGAGTGATAAGACAGAAACTGCTAGATGAACTGAAAAGCCTGAGGAGAGACTGAGGGGAGCGCAGGGCTTTGTGAGAGGAAGAGGAAGAGGCCAGTCTGCAGTGAGGCAGGTTTACAGCTGTCCATATACGAGGCAGGTGTATTTGGGAAACAATAAATGGATCTACTTCACTCATTTTGCCCCCAAGCATTCAGATATCACCCTGCTGCATGAAGCCATGGGTTTCCCTGTTCAAATAGAAGAATAAAAAGGCAACAGTATGGACAAAAAACAAGTTTCACACTCCAGGAAAAGGCATTCTATTCAGAGAGATACTCTGACTTAAAATTGTTTGAATCTTTAGTCTGGAATTCATCTCCAAAATATTGAGCTGCTCATTCACATGCAAATACACTATCATTACTTTTGTTGTTACCTTTGAAACTGACCCTTCACAGGCCCACTCTCCATTTGTACGTTATATCAGACAGATTCAGAACACTGCAGAAAAGTGGATCACATGACTTCTGTTCTGAGGTCTTTTACAAATGATTTTAAAATACTGTTTCTGGTTTATAAAGCAATGAATGGTTTCAGTTTTTTCGCACCACATTTCTGAAACAAACTCCCAGAAAACTACAGGTTTGCTTCAACTCTGTTTCTTAGTTCCCAGTTCAAATTTATGCTGAAGACTTCTCTGTCTTCCTTGGCCTTTCATCAACCGCATGTGAGGCTTTTTATACTGTACTCTATTAATTTCCTACTTTCATCTCTACTTTTCTTTTTTTTTTCATTCATATTTAACTATTCAGCTCTTAACTCTTCAAATTTTTGATATGGCTTTATGTTGCACTTTGAGTAGCCCAGTTATTGAAATGTGCTTTACACATAAACATGCCTTGCTTTACATTAGCAGCCGTATCTAGGCTAAGTAGGCCTGTCAGAAACAGGAAGAAAATACTGAAATGGTGTACATGTGGAACCTGCAAGTCCGACAGCAGATATCCACTAAGTTTAAAAGCAGGGTGTCGGAATCTTTCTCATTTCTAAAGCCAAAAATGGAAGAAGAGACCCGTCGAATGTGGACTAAAGGGTGAGAAAGAACCCATGCACAGATGTTTCAGTTTCGTTATCCCAGCAGAGACATGTGTCACAGCTACATTTTTTATTTTTGAGGATGTGTCTCACTTAGTTCTTTAACAAATTATTGGTGTCATTAGGACTGAAGCTAACATTTATTTTAGTAGGGGAGCATTCTACTTATTATTGCATTGATTAATCGAGTAATCGGATAAGAGATGTTTTTGCAAATATACAAATGAAAGGCAGTTCTCTAAAAATGAACAAATAATTGGTTTTCTTTCAGAAAAAAATTACAGTTTTTCGGAAAGATAGCAGCTCTCTGGGAAAAGTTTGAGGAGTTAAATAAGCATGTTTTACCAGGCAGAAAGGCCTCAGTCAGAATCCTGCTGGGATACAAAAAAATGACAGAACACCGATGATGAAGTACCTGACGTTGGCGGTTAGCTAGTTAGACAGTGAGTTAACAGGGCTATGTCGAAGTAAAAGAGGTCACAAGCAAGCTACTTAAGCAGTGAGTTGGACAAATGTGCTTGTTATTTCTATTATTTCTTGTAGGTAAATAAACTTCAGTTGCTCTGACAGGTAACAGAGCTGATGGCTAGCAGATTGACAGCAAAGCTGACCTTGACTCTGCACTTTATTTAGACTTCATCTACACTTGCAGTCAAATTCATTCATACAGAATGGATGGATTTTTGGCTAGATGAAAGTGACTGTCTTCTTTTGACTTTGGGAAAAAACTGCAATACAAAAACTGAAACGAAAAATAGGGGATGTATGTAGTCATCTCATGTAGAGTGTTTAATCTTCTGTCTGCATATTAGCGTGACATTTTCAAGCTTAGGACAGTGAGTTGTGCTAGCATTACAAGGGGTGGAGAATGTTTTATGATTGGCTGTGTGACTATGTGGACATGCTGTGAACTCAAAGATAATTAATGTTTCTTGGAAGGGCTTTACCTGTCCCGTTACGCTGCAGAGTTCTTTAACTTCTGTAATTCTTTCTCGCTGATCAAGAGTACATAATCCAGCATGACGGGCATGTCAGAGCATCTCCGTAGTTTATTTAAGCTTCTGTGTGGCAGACCTAACATGCTAAGTCAGTCATACAGTGAACTGCAACAAAACAGCAGAGACGTGAGAATGAGACTTCAAAAATAACATCTATAGAAAGCTGCAGGTCTCGATTTTATTTATTGCTTGAGGTCTGAGGGGAGCAGAAACAACTGTCTATTGTGAGCCAGTGTGGTTTTTTGCGGTGTTGTAACGCTGTTACTGTTCTGACCAGACATACACAGAGCATATAAGGTTTCTGTGCGCCTGCTCACACTTGCAGAAGCATTTAGATTCATCAGCGTATTAAAACCAGGAGCTAATTGTTAGGAGGATAGAAAAATTTAATAACAACAAAGAACAGAGACATTGAGACAGTTTCAGACCTTGTAAAAGAGCAGAGCGGTTTGATTTAGTGACACTCTGGCCTCTTAACAAGACTTTCACATGCCTGAGTTGATTTTCGCTCAGGCTGTAGTCAACCAAAGAAAATCTCACTCAGCTCATATCATACCTCCTCCTCCAGCAATCAGTTAGTCGCAGGGGGACAAAAATCAGCACAATATCTGTAAATGAACTTAATGTGCACCGAGTGACTCAACCTGCAGCCTTATTAGCATTAAAGACTCATAAATCAACACAGAAAGCTAGTATTTGCAGCATTTAAAATCATTTGAACCTTTTTTCTTTATACTGAAATCATCAAAACAGACTTAGAGCGGAGCAGCTGCACATATTTTTCTAATTTCTGAGGATGAAATTAAATAAACTGGTGATCCAGCACAAGAACCCTTGTGGAATGTAACAAATACAAGGACAATTTAGCTGCTGTTTTTAGATGATCTGCATGTTCGTGGTTGAGCTCTGTGAGTTGCAGCATCGACAGTGACTTCCTGTTTGTTGCTTTGGAGCCGACTTCAAGTAATCGTTCTCTACACCTTAAATGACTTGGCCCTAGAAATCTTCATTAGGTTGGACCAGTTCAAAATTGTGAAAATGCAGGGATGTTCACAGGTAGTCTGTTCCTCCTGCCACCTAAACTGATGGATTAATCCTGGAAGCTGTTGATGGAGAACTTTTGTTCTTGTGAAAGTAATACCAGAGATTGTCCAACCAATGGGAAGTCGGTGAGTTGAGAGTATAGCCAACAAACAATTAACGAGTTTAAAGCACTTCAGCTCTATTTTTTTCTTTTGATACTGAGGTTGTGCTCGGAGCACAACAATCTGAAAATGCTGTTAAAAATGTTTAAATTTCCCTTTTTCTGCACCAGCATCGCCTCATCCTAGTGCTGTGAAGAAGTCTTTGCCCCCTTCTCAAATTCTTCTATTTTTTTTGCACATTTTCCCCACTTAAATGTTTAAGATCATCAAATAAATATAAATATCAGACAAAACTAACCCAAGTAAACACAAAATGGAGTTTTTAAATGATGATTTTATTTATTTAATTAATTAATGTAAAAATGTAATTGTCCCCTAAATCTAACAACCGGTTGGGCCACCCTCAGCAGCAACAACTGAAATCAAGCGTTTTCTCGAGCTGGCAAAGAGTCTTTCACATCTCTGTGGTGATATTTTGGCCCACTCTTCTTCCACAATTCTTTGCAGAATTGTTTTAATTCAGCAACACCAGAGGGTTTTCCAGCATGAACGGCCTTTTTAAGGTCATGCCACAGCATTTCAATTGGATTCAAGTCTGGACTTTAACTAAGCCTCTCCAAAACCTTCGTTTTTTTTTTTTTTTTTAAAGCCATTCAGAAGTCAACTTGCTGGTGTGTTTGGGATCGTTATCCTGCTGCAGAACCCAAGCATGCTTCAGCTTGAGGTCACGAACTGATGGCCGAACATCCTCCTTCATGATTTTCTGGTAGAGAGCAGAATTCATGGTTCCATCAAGTCGTCCAGGTCCTGAAGCAGCAGAGCAGCCCCAGACCATCACACTACCACCACCATGTTTGACTGTTGCTATGATGTTCTTTTTCTGACACTTTGTGTTACTTTTACACCAGATGTAACGAGACACACACCTTCCAAAACGTTCAACTTTTGTCTTGTTAGTCCATAGAATACTCTCCCAAAGGTCTCTGGGATCATTCAGATGT